TACTTTATCTGAATTCTGCTTGATCCATTCTGCTGGAGAGAGCCTCTAATAAACTTTAATGTTCAGCAAATGTATTTCTCATTTCCAAGATTTCTGTTTTTTTTAGAATTATTTTAATGTATTTTTAAACTTCTCTGATAAGTTTCTGAATTTCTTTTCTGTGTTATCTTGGAGATAGCTGAGTTTGCTTACAAATGCTGTTTTGAATTCTTTGTCTGAGGGTCCACATGTTGCCTTCTCATTGGGGTCAGTCACTGGTTCCTTGCCTTGTCCATTTGAGGAGGTCATAGTTCCCTGTGTGCTGTTGTTTCTTGTGGATGTATGTGTATGTTTTTGCATTGAGGTATTAGTTTATTCCAGTCTTCTCTGTCTGGCTTGTTTTAGTTTTTGTTGGATATGTTTGCTTAGATATTGTTCGTAATTTACCTGCTCATTATCTTTCCTTCCTCTTGCCCCCCCGCCCCCATGCTAGGTTACTGCCTCCTTTTTAGCACTAGATGGCACCTTAAGCTTAGGTTTGCTTTGGTTCTAGTAAACAGTCAGGGTCCCGCTGTCCAGATGGGGGGGGGAAAAACCGAAGGGGGCGGCACCTGTGGCTCAAGGAGTAGGGCACTGGCCCCATATGCTGGAGGTGGAGGGTTCAAACCCAGCCCTGGCCAAAAAACCGCCAGGAGAAAAAAAAATCCCAAAGGGATGTCCCAGTAGTGTGGGAAGCCTGGCTAAGGGAACTATAGAACAAACCTCCTATAGTGTGGTGCTGCTAAACAGCCACTCTGATTTGGTGTCTCATTGGCCAAGTTGCAGAGCAGAGTGTCCAGGGCAGGAATGGTGGTCACACATCCCCGCTTCGTCTCTGCCTGTCCTCATGCATATTCCTCCCTAAGGCACTCCCAGTGCTTCCAGTGGATTGAGTCAAGGACACATCTCCTGCCAGGGAACCCAAGATGACAGGGAAGCTGAATGTCTACCTTGATCTTTCTTCCAGTGTAGAAATGTTGAGTCCTCACAATTATTTTTACTCTCAGCACAGGGCAGATTGGGGAGAGGGGCATCATGGATGTAGAGGCCCTATTCTCTTACTGTCAGCTCAGAGTTTTTTCATTTTTCTGTGGCCACAGGAACTGTTCATCCCCATATTTAGGTTCTGAAATGTTGCTGGTGATAGTCTCTGTGCTATACATTTATTTTTGGCTATTGGGGAGCATGGGGGAGCAGGTGAAGCCAACTTGCTTTTATGTGACTATTTTGGAACCAGAAATCTGGAATTCTTCCTGGGAGGGCTTTCATCTTAAACTTATTATCTTTGTTTTATAATGCTTTGCTGATATCATTTTGAATTTAGAATGTTTCTATTGCCCAGCCATATGCTTCTCCTACCAGTTTGACAATCCTGCAATTTTTTTCATCATGTAGTCATGAACAAAAATAGAATTTAGAGTTTGTTGTTTTTCAGGAAGCCACTCCGATGCATAAGCTGTGCTGGGCAGGCAACTAGAATCATGGGGTAGGAGGAGCTTTTCC